TTGCTTTATGGCCTAACATATGGTCTATCATGGAAAATGTTCCATGTGCACTGGAGAAGAATGTATATTGTGCTGATGTTGGGTGAAGTGCTCTGTAGGTGTCTATAAGGCCAAGTTGGTGGATTTTATTGTTTAGCTTTTCTACATCTTTGTTGAGTTTCTTTCCAGTTGTTCTATCTTTCAAAGAAAGTGGTGTATTAAAATCTCCCAGTATGACTGTGGCGTCATCTATTGAATTTTCATCTCTAAAAGTCTGATTTATATACTTTGGGGCTCTTTCATTGATTCCATAGATATTTATTGTGGTTATATCTTCCTGTTCAATTGATCCTTTAATCATTAGATAATGTCCTTCCTTGTCTCATATGGTGGTTTTTGTCTTAAAGTCAATTTGATCATAAATTAATATTGCCACTCCTACTCTCTTAAAATTGCCATTTGGTTGATGTATCTTTTTCCATCCTTTGATTTTTAGTCTATTTTTGTCTTTATTTCCAAGGTGTGTCTCTTGTAGGCAGCGTATTTATGAGTTTTGTTTTCTTAACCAATCTGCAACTCTCCATCTCTTGAGTGGTTCATTAAATCCATTAACATTCTGGGTAATTATTGATAAGTTTGAATTTGTTGCTGTCATTTTATTATGTGTTTTTTCATGGTGTCCCTGGTTTCTTTGTTCCATATTATTTTCTGTGCTGAGCTCATTATGTTTATTCGTCACGTTATCATTTCCTTTGTTGCTGTTGTTTTAGTATATGCTGAATATTTATGCTTGTCCTCTTTTTCATTGTGATGTGAAGGTTTATCATTTTTCTTTGAGGTTACCTTGTGATTTATAATTTTCTCCCTGAGGTTAGAACTGTCCATTCTCTCTTGCAACTCTCTTAACTTCCTCACCATTTAGAAGTTCTGTAACTACACAGTCTTTTTCCTCTTTTTGCTTGTAGTTGCCCTCACTTGCCAATTGATGTCTCTGGTTCCCTGTTTACAGTCCTGTAAGCTCATTTTACTTTAGATACATCCATAGCTGTGGTTTCTGGGTTATGTCATCTTGTGTATTAGTGTTCCGGTGTTATTTGCTATTTTTGGTTCTCTGTTCAAAGGACTCCCTTTTGTATCTCTTGTAAGGTTGGTCCAGTTTTAACAAATTCCCTTAGTTTCTGCTTATGTGGAAATCTCCTAATTTCACCATCATTCGAGGGACAATTTCGCTGGGTATATAATTCTTGCTTGAAAATTTTTCTCTTTTAGAGTTTTATATATACCATCCCATTGCCTTCTCGCTTGCATGGTTTCTGCTGAGAAATCAGAGCTTATTCTTACTGGCTGTCCTTTGTAGGTAACTTTTTTTTTTTTCCCGTGTTTCTTTCAGGATTCTGTTTTTGTCTTTGGTTTTGATGAGTTTGTTGATGATGTGTCTTGGTGATTATCTTTTGGGGTCTATCCTGTTTGGTGTCCGTTGGACTTCCTGAATGGATATATTCTTATCTTTCATCATATGAGGGAAGTTCGCCTCCAGCAAATCTTGGACAATTTTCTCAGTGGTTTTGTTTTTCTCTTTCTGTTCTGGAATTCCAGTGACACTAAGTCACTCCTTTTGATGGTATCCCACATGTACCTTAGGCTTCCTTCATTTTGTTTTAATTTTTTTTTTTTTTTCTGATTGATCCCTTTCCAAAGAAGTATTCAGGTATTTGTCTTCAATTTCATTAATTCTGTCTTCCATTGAATCAATTCTACTCTTTTGCCCTTCCAATATGTTATCTATTTTGACAATTCAGTATTAATCTTCTGGATTTCTGTCTGTATATTTGGAATCATTTCTAATTTTTCATTGTTTTTGTCATTCTGTTCTTGTATTTTCTTACAAAATTCTTCTAGGCTTTTTTTCTGTGTTTTCTTTGGTCTGTCTCTCAATCCTTTGAAGATACCTAAATATAATTCTTTTGAATTCCTTATGAGAGAGTTCCAATGCTGTTTCTACCTCAGGGATGTGTTCTGGGTCTGTCTCCTTCTCCCTTGTTTCTACTACTTTATCCTGCTTCTTTGTGTGGACTGTGATGGTCTGTTGTCTCTGAGGCATCATGGCATTGTTGTATTTAGATCTCTGTTAACTGTTTGTGAGGAGCAGCCAAGGGTGATTCAGGCTCTTCTTGATGGTTTTTTATTGTTGGCCCATCGGTGGAGAAGGAGGTAGTGGCTCTCACTCAGTAAGTGAAGTTGAAGGAGGTGTGTGTGTAATTGTGTTTTATGGGGACTGTTGTTGTCTCCCACTCAGTTAGACAAAAATTACAATTGAATTACCATCAAAAAACTAAAAGCACATGGACAAAAAACATACCATGTAATCACAAAGGAACAGTAACCAAAAAAAGAAAAAAGCTAAAAAGAAGAAGATAAAACAAGAAAACCTGTAATATCTGGGTATAGGGCACTAAGAGAAAAAAAGTAGAGAAGGAGAATAATGAAGGAAAAAAATGGGAAAA